TTCCCAGTACTACTTTGTACTACAAAGCTTGCACAAACTACTTCCCAGTACTACTTTGTACTACAAAGCTTGCACAAACTACTTCCCAGTACTACTTTGTACTACAAAGCTTGTACAAAGCACATCTAGTACTACTTTTGTACTACAAAGCTTGCACAAACTACTTCCCAGTACTACTTTGCACTACAAAGCTTGCACAAACTACTTCCCAGTACTACTTTGTACTACGAATCTTGCACAAACCACTTCCCAGTACTAATTACTTTGTACTACAAAGCTTGCACAAACTACTTCCCAGTACTACTTTGTACTACAAACAAGCTTGCACAAAACACTTTCCAGTTCTACTTTGTACTACAAAGCTTGCACAAACTACTTCCCATTATTACTTTGTACTACAAAGCTTGCACAAAACACTTCCCAGTACTACTTTGTACTACAAAACTTGCACAAACTACTTCCCAGTACTACTGTGTACTACGAAGCTTGCGCAAAGCACTTCCCAGTACTACTTTGCACTACAAAGCTTGCACAAAGTATTTCCCAGTACTACTTTGTACTACAAAGCGTGCACAAAGTATTTCCCAGTTCTACTTTGTACTACAAAGCTTGCACAAAACACTTCCCAGTACTACTTTGTACTACAAAGGCTTGCACAAAACGCTTCCCAGTACTACTTTGTTCTACAAAGCTTGCACAAACCACTTCCCAGTACTAATGTGTACTACAAAGCTTGCACAAAGCACTTCCAGGTACTACTCTGTACTTTAAAGCTTGCACAAACCACTTCCCAGTACTACTGTGTACTACAAAGCTTGCACAAAGTATTTCCCATTACTACTTTGTACTACAAAGCTTGCACAAAGCACTTCCCATTACTACTGTGTACTACAAAGCTTGCACAAAGTATTTCCCAGTACTACTTTGTACTACAAAGCTTGCACAAAGCACTTCCCAGTACTACTTTGTACTACAAATAAGCTTGCACAAAACACGTTCCAGTACTACTTTTGTAATACAAAGCTTGCACAAACTACTTCCCAGTACTACTTTGTACTACGAAGCTTGCGCAAAGCACTTCCCAGTACTACTTTGCACTACAAAGCTTGCACAAAGCACTTCCCAGTACTACTTTGTACTACAAAGCTTGCACAAAACACGTTCCAGTTCTACTTTGTACTACAAAGCTTGCACAAACTACTTCCCATTATTACTTTGTACTACAAAGCTTGCACAAAACACTTCCCAGTACTACTTTTGTACTACAAAGTTTGCACAAATTATTTCCCATTACTACTGTGTACTACAAAGCTTGCACAAAGTATTTCCCAGTACTACTTTGTACTACGAAGCTTGCGCAAAGCACTTCCCAGTACTACTTTGTACTACAAAGCTTGCACAAACCACTTCCCAGTAGTACTGTGTACTACAAAGCTTGCACAAAGCACTTCCCAGTACTACTTTTGTACTACAAAGCTTGCACAAAGCACTTCCCAGTACTACTTTGCACTACAAAACTTGCACAAAGTATTTCCCAGTACTACTTTGTACTACGAATCTTGCGCAAAGCACGTCCCAGTACGACTTTGTACTACAAAGCTTGCACAAAGTATGTCCCAGTACTACCTTGTGATACAAAGTTGGAACAAAGAAAGCTTTTACACACAGCAAGTTCTTTCGCAGAGAAGCTTTTACACACAGCAAGTTTTTTAAACAGCATGTTTATTATCCACATCATTTATGATAGTTTCTAGTTACCAGCAAAAGGATCAGTGAGAGAATGCTCTGTCACTGGAAAAACGGTTTCACATGGCCTCCCTCTGTTGCCTCTCACTGGGTAGGCAACTCACCGCGTCATGAAACTGGAGGCACTTCAGTTTGAACTTGGTGTTGCTGAAAGGTTAGGTCTGAGCATTGTGGTGTCCTAGTCCAGTCACTAGTCACTAGTCACTAGTCAAATCAGAACAGTGGGTTTTATGAAACGACCATATACTCGTAGTTATTGGTTTGGCGCCTTTTCGCGAGGTAACTAGCAGTGGGTATTTTTCAACACAAGGTTGGGAACAAGAGCATGGGTATGGATCAAGTGTTAAATCACAAATAAAGGTGCACTTAAAATCCCATGATGCAGTATACTCCGGTTTGACCCTACCATTTGAGTCGCCATGTGTATGCTTCAAGTTTAATGTTACTTCATGTTACTTGTATATTTGTGACCTCTATCCCCAAACATATCAGTTGCGTTCAAATGCTGACGACTGGGGACTTGAATTTCCCCCTTATCTCCACCGATTTGAACATCGGGGCAACATCGGGTGTCTGGCCTCCATCATCGCGGAAATTTTCGCCATTTTGAGACTGACCCAGTGTTTTTTTTCAGCACGCAACATGTGAATTCCATGGAAATCCTCTTTATCAGCCAGTATTCTTAGGGATGACACATGGGTTTTGATCACGGAACTCACATGGGTTTGTCTGAAAATCGTGTACCTCCAATTCGGATTATTATCAGTTATCCTATTTTAAAAAGGCAATGCTGGTGATTTGTGTTTTGGTCTTGCAGATGACAAGAAAAACAATGCTGGGGTATACCATGGTGCACCCTTTGGTAAACCAACATGTAACATAGCTATGGAAAATCGCAATTTTAAATAGGTAAATCATTGAACTAAACGGCCATTTTCACAAACTGCAACAAATTACCAGAGTACATCAGAGTACCATGATCTCTCCGACAAACCCAAAGATTGCTCGTATTTTTCTGTCCACAGCGCCGCTGTCATTTTCAGCCGTGAGGTGGATCATGATCCCACGGCCCGGAACTTGAGTTTACGTCTTGGGTTTACGTCGTGAACATCAAACATGGCAATTTTTCACATCCCCGTTCTGCATTAAGTTTTTTCTATGTGAAAATAATTCAAGTAAATGATGGATTTGCCATGGTTGATGACACTGAAGGGTAGATTGCACACGGAACCCCAAGCATTGGGTTTGAAAGATGATGTTGCTCTTGGATATGGCCATTGTTGTGTACCATGTTAAATTTAGGGTGTGAATCAATGTATCTATATCTCCAACATTAGATTGAGGCCTCAGAATGGTCAATAGATATTCGTGGCTTTGGGGAACATGTGTGTATCTCCGATACTGAATGCAGGCTTCATGGTGGTTAGTAATTAAACTATTAATATCAACCCAGGATTAATAAACCCCTAGTTTGTTTTTTTTGTTGGGGGGGTACCATTTATAAACGGAAATATCAATAAATATCAAATATCACTATACATATTTCTTGGACCACCCTTATTAATTTTTACTGGGGGTTTTGGCCTAATCCTGGGTTGATATAATGCTGATACGATTCGCTCGCCCACCGGAAAGCCATGGCTAAAAACTAATCCTGGAGAGTCCTTTGCCATGGAAAATCGCAAAAATATGCAACAAATCAGAAAACCAGCAAGATTGTTTTTTTAAAATCATTTTGTGTGGAGTATGAAAGATTGACCATGCTGTGTTCTGTTGCATTTTTGGGATTAAAGTGATAAAAACACTTGAGTAAGGGCATGGTATCAAAAACTTTAAGACCAGCATGCATTACGCTCCTTAATACAGCGAGTGACATGACTCCAAGCAGAGAAGTATTTCATGGCTACTTTAAAAAGGACGAGTCAAGCTGTCCGCCTCCCATCACACATTTCATGGCAAATTGGACCTGGTTTGGTTCGTTCACTAGCTCACTTTTAGACAATGGAAAATTACTTTCATATCCAACTAGGAATCAACTCTATGTCTGGGTATCTCCGGTTTGCCCCATACTTTGTGGCTTGCTTTACACATCTGAAGTTGATAGTTTGGCCATTGGTGTCTGAAAACTGGGTACCCAACTCATGGCAGGGTCGGCATTGGGGGTTGCTTAACCCAAGCGAGTTGGGTGGGTGGTCCTCTCCCCCATGGGATCCACATGGTCTGTTCAAAAGAACAGATATCCAACATGAAATCCCAGTTGTGATGCCAAAGATCCCAGCAGATCTCCCATTCTGAATGAGGTCAAAACCTTCACCAACTGGCTCGCCGAGATGAAGGTCAGAGCTGGAGCTGGACCGGGTGTGGGGCGATCTCCAACCATTGGAAAATTGATGGGAAAATGATAGATGATATACTGTAATGGCTATACAATGGCCATAAAATGGCTATAGAAGTGGCTATAAAATGGCTATAGAATAGCTATAGAATGACTATACAATTAATATATATATTCTATATAATGGACATATAATGGATATATTGGTGGGAACATGACGGGGAACAACAAAATTCGCCATGGGACGGAATGGGACAGATGAGCGAGATTTCTTGGCCTAAGACCTTTGAAGGTCTTAAACTTACCATTTTTTTCAGCGTCACTTGAAACTGTTACTATCTGGTTATTTAACATAGCCATGGAAAATCACCATTTTTAATAGGAAAACCATCTATAAATGGGCCATTTTCCATGGCTATGTTAAATAACCAGATGGTAAACCCATTAAAACCCATAACTGGTGTTGTCAATTGAATCGCTGAAAAGTTAGCAAAACCATTCATGTTTCCAGCATTAGCTAATGAATTATGGCCGCATCTTTTGGGAGGTGAACGAACCACTATGTCACTATTGTTGTTTCTCAAGTAAGACTTGCCTTTCGTCAAAAATCAAGTCCAGTTGGGACGCTGGGGGACATTTGGGAACCATGGCATCCGCTAGCGAATTCTTACATAGCATGCTTACTTCCAACTTTTAAACGATTCTAACCCAATGACTCATTGGTTCTGGTTCTGCTCTCTGGTTTATGGGTGTAAAATGCCAAAATTAGGACGCCACCGCACAAAACGTAGTACTGTAGCGTCACCGAACCACCTGGGCAGCCTATAATGAGCATAGCGCAGCAGCTTGGAGGTGGTTTTTTGGAAGATCGACCTCGAATCTTGACACGTTGACGCCTCCTACGTTCAATGACTTGGAGATGCAAAAAGCGTTGGCGATTGCTGATCTTCGACTTCACTGCAGGGAGAGTGACTTTGCCTGTTCCCAGGTGCAGCTGTCTTTTTCTGGTCGTTGTCCTCCGAAACCATTTTGAGGGTAACGTAATTGCCACTATACACATGATGTAAACCAATGCATATCATATCGGATGTGATGATGCGATTTCTATATTATCCATATTAATACCCATAAATCAATATCCAAATGTCTATCTAAACTAAGAATATATGCATGGTAATCGATCTAAAGGTCTTTGTAAGGAGTTTTAATTGCGAAAGCCGTGCATGTTATGTTGGAAACCCTCGCGAAAGCTTTTTTCGAGTTCGCGAAAGTAACATGTTTATTCGCGAAGAATGGCCGTTCCCGGATAAAGGAATTTTGATCAACAACTATATATATATGATATTATTAATTATTATTAACGGGAAACCATATGTACATATATAGTCATATATATATATGATATTAAGATCATATTATTACCAACAACCATGATGTATATGTACCTACGGAATAGCAACAGAGCTGGCAAATACACACGCCTCGTTCCCAGGTGCAAAACAATCGGACCGTCCAGGAGATCCTGTCCGAAACGTCGCAGCCTCCAGGGGATGTGCCACGACTTTTTTGGGTCGTCTGCTTACCCAACAAACGTCTACATTGATGTGGAAACCATGGCACATGTATGGATGAATTATCTATGAACATGTCCATCATGTTGTGATTTTCCAGATCTATGGTAGATTTCCCCCTGGTTATTTGCTACATTTAGCTATGTTTAGTTTGATGATGATGATTTAATTATATTTAATTATTATTTACCGTTGTGAAACATGATGTTCTAGTTACTAGTTCGCTGCGTGAAAAATTGCCAGACGGGTGTCCCCCATGAATTGCGGGATCGCAAGAATTCCGTAGGAGATGGTTCTGATTTCCATAGCCATTGATTTAAGAATAGGGATTTATTAATCCCCCATTAGGGTTTTTTCGCCCAGTAATCCCCAAGTTAACTCCGTGGCATGACATGGAGGACCCTCGAAATCCACAGTTACTGCATCCACTGAAACACGGGTTCTTATCCAAGTACCCTCTGGTTATTTAACATAGCCATGGTATAGATGGCCCATAGAAATAGATGGTTTACCTACTAAAAATGGTGTTTTTCCATGGCTATGTTAAATAATCAGATGGTATTTTTTTGGGGGGTGACTTTGGAAATTTAATTCTTGCGATTGGTGCGTTATAGTAGAACTCTATGACCTAAAAAGCGGCTATTGTAGCTTAGTATAGGTTTTCAACGGTTTGCTGAAGTCAGGTTGCATCCCAGTCCCCCTTAAAATCATATTTCGGTATGAGTCAAGATTTGAGCCCAGCGTACAGAGGACTTGTGCTTTCATGAGAAGAACATGTAAACATCCAGCATAACTTCTTTGTTCTAGAATTAGCTTGCAAACATGTTATGTTCCATCAGTATTTTCTGGCAGATCTTTCTGCATGTATACATTCATTGTCTCGTTGCAACGTGAATTGAAAACTACTCTGTGTCGTTGCGACCTGTGCTGGTTTGATCCTACAGTTTCCTTCAGTTTCCAGCGGATTTCCTGGTTTGAAACCGGGGTCATTGCCAACTGCTTGGCGCTTTTAAGGACTTTTCAAATCTTTTCAACGTCTCAAGCATAGTTGGAATAACAATCTCCAGTGACTTATTACACATTCCAACACGGGGACGGCCCAACCCAGCAAAAAAAACCAGGGAATTGATAGTGACCTGACCTCACCAAAGATCATGGTAATGGGATGTACCCTCTGGTGAACTAACATAGCAATGGAAAATGGCTATTTATAGTGGATTTTCCCATTAAGAATGGTGATTTTCCATTGCTATGTTAGTTCACCAGAGGGTAATGGGTAACTCTCCCATTTTACGTCCAAAAACCAATATGCCTGGCATCACCTACCGGAAATCAAACATGGCACTTGGAAATCCCCGAAAAAGCTATAGTGGATCCAGCGAGCCATGCTGACACCGAAGGGTATTGCTTCATGCTGTTATCACCATTAAAACCCTTAAACCATAAACCATATCAACGGCCATTTACCCATACATAAAAATTTACATAATCCCATTAAAACCTATGAAATCCCATCGTTTTTCTTACGGCTAAAAACTTCGGGGTTGCCATGGTTTTTCAGACCCAGGTCCATCATCCGCGACAGCATCACGGCCAACAACATGGAACTCACAGACTTCAAGCGCCACTCCAGTAGTGACCTGGATCCAAACGTTGCCATGGGAACGGTGGTGCCCCCCCATTTTGTGATGTGAACGTTAGTTTATACCCTCTGGTAAACTAACATAGCTATTGAAAATGGCCATTTATAGTGGATTTTCCCATTAAAATAGTGATTTTCCATAGCTATGTTAGTTTACCAGAGGGTAACCATAGCCCTTTTTTGCGAACCCATGGTGCTGGAATATGAATCCCAACATCTGCCTGAACAAAATCACCCAGTTATGTAGGTAAATATACCAGCACCGCGGAGCATATGGGATAGATATATCTACCATAAACCATGGTGAAATTGGAGTTATGAACGCACCAACTGACGAACTATGGGGCACCACCTTGTGGTAAACTAACAGTTTGCTTTGGAAAATCATCCTTTTTTAATGGGTAAATCAACTATTTCGATGGCCATTTTCAATAATTAGCTATGTTAAATTCCCAGACGGTACTGAACCCATTATATTTATATGGATATAATGATGTAATCCTTCTAGGGTGGCATAATAATATACAATTAATTATATTTTAATTATATATTCTGTATATACACCATCCTGTAAACATTGCCATAGATGTGGAAAACCCAGCGGTTTTTTTACATCTTAGTTTGGTGAATTTTACATGGAGTTTTTTTTTCCAATATGTTGTTCATATGTTCGTCTCGGTTAAATGGCAGTTTGGTGATCCTTTTGGACGTGAGGAAATCGTGCGGAAAATATGCATGTACCATGTACCATTTGCTGTACTATCATCCATGAAACACAAGAGTTTTCCAGCCAGGCTACTTGGACCCAGTGGTAGATATGTCTACAGTATTCTAGGGAAAAACGAATTTATGAACCAGTATAGACCAACTATAACCAACTATAACCAAGTACAACCAACTATAACCAACTTACAACTTGTAGGGATAAATCCATGTTTGAATCCCACATCAGTTGCAACGTCCCGGCAACCTAGGCATCTCGCAGCAAATGCAGTCGGGGCCCTGTATCTCTTCACCGAGTGGAGCCGATCTCATCAGAAAAATGCCAGGCAGTTATTCTGCATCCTTACCGACATGAATTTGATATGTATAATACATTATAATACATTATAATACATTATATTACATTGTAATACATTGTAATACATTCACTGAGCCGCTCACAGGTTTTATTAAGAGGTTCAGACTTGTTAACTGATTTTTCAGAGAGGTAAATATCTCAACTGCAACACGGATGTGTCCCACCCTGCTTTTGCCAACTTGGCCAACTTGATGTAACACTGCCATCGTCCACTGATTGAAGATGGAGAGACGGACCCATTATTCTTGTCCTGAACATTTGCCGTTTTGTTATCTTAAGTTCCATGAAGTTCCTGCATTTTGATATGCATGTTGAATCATTCTGATATTTATTGAACGATGGTTACTTATTTAGATGTGGCTTCAAACCTTTGATCATACCGCTATGTTCATCTATTTTCGGTGATGAACATCCATAACTCGCATCTATTTTCATGTGAACCGAAGGGTACTGTGACAGGGTTTGACCCACAGGGCCCAGGAGACCGAAAGGGCCAGGCCTCCATGGCAGGATCATCTTAGATCAACTATAACTATGACCCCATAGTTATAACCATTGGGTTTTTCATAACTATAATAAACAGTTTAATATGGTTTAATGGTGGTTTAATGGTGATTAATGGTGAGTAATCATGGTGATTAATGATAAATTAACTGGTTGGTGGTTTGGAACATGAATTTTATTTTCCCCAATTTTGTTGGGATGATGATCCAATCTGACGAACTCATATTTTTCAGAGGGACTGAAACCACCAACTATAATAACTGTAATCCCCTATTGCTGACTAGTATAATAACCCCACTTCGTAGTTATAATATTCAATTACTAACCGCTTAGCCTCTGGTAATTTGTTACAGTTTGCTGTTGAAAATGGCCATAGAACTAGTTGGTTTATCCATTAAGCATGGTGATGTTCCAGTTCGCAAACTGTAACAGTTTACCAGAGGCTTTTTTTCATACGAATCATATCCACTTTGGGAAGGGATCCGCTGTTCCCTTCCCTAGATTCATCACCCAAAAAAAGATAGAAAGTCGCCCTTTTTCAATGACAACTTTCTAGGCTAGGCTGGGCCACTGGGCCTAAAACATAGGCCTAAAACATAGGCCTAAAACATATGTTACCTCCAATAAATCAGTTCCTGAAATGACCAGTGATTATATTAACCATTATTAACCATTATGAGCCATTACTAACCATTATTAAGCACTATTAGGTTCCTGTTGCATGGCCATTGGCCAAGTGTCGATCCGTCAGGTCCCAGCTGACGGATCTCCGCGAGAAGCTGACCACGGCCTTCGGCGAGATCACGGCCTTGGTGAAGCAGAAGCGCCTCGGCGCCCGACAGAGATGTTGAGATGGGTGATAATGATTCATAAATATTCATAATGTACAATGTATATGTTTAATTATTGTAGGTATATTACATTATATATTTAAATAGGATCCATGTATGGTATATATTGCTAACATTGGAGGTATAGTGGATGGCAAATGTTACCATTAATATAGCAGCACCATGGATCCTATGGGTTATATATGTAGATATATGGTGAAACAAACATGCCGGATGTTTGACGATTTTGTTGGTGATGTCAACCAGCAGGGAGGCAAAGCACATATCAGCTATGCCAAGCGATCCATTAACAAACCAGGAGTCAGCACTTTACTTGTCTGCCAGCTTGGTTGAAGCAAAACGATGTTGGAGCATGAACTGATAAGAAGGAGAGAAGCGATGCTGCACAAACTTCTCTTGTTGCCTGTGTGAAAAAAACACAAGTCTGCGCGACCCAAGCGTCTCAAAATATTGGCAGAAGCAATGTGAAGGATCAGCACTGCTTGCACACACTTTCGTGGCCGACTCGAGTCAAGGCACTTGGTTCAGGGCTGCTAATTTTGCCCCAAAGGCCAGGTATTGGCAACAGACTGAGGCAGCTAGCTTCCAAAAGACGTCTTCACATTGTTCAGCACCAGGCGTCTGAATAGCCAGCTCTGGGCATTGACAAAGAGTTTTGTGCACATTCTTTGCGCAAGCACAGCCAGCCATCAAACGCTTGAAGTACCATCACGGCGCAATGTTGAGGTAGTCTGCTCAACCGCTGCTCACGGAGATGTCAATCGCCAGCTCCGGGCATGGACAAAGGAATTTGCACAAACAAGTCCAACTACCAAACGAGTGAGGCACCTTGTGATTGAGCACGGCAGACACAAGCAACACTCCCAGGGATCTGCCGACTCAGCCGCACTACCTGGTTTCAGTCCTGGGCCCGTGGCTAGCAATATTACATATACTACAACTATGGATAGTACATTTACTATAATACACTATGAAACCATGTCCTATTGTACAAATGGATAATGAATGATAATGACTATTGTCAACATTCCAATCATTCATCTCTATTAATGCGGTTAACACAATGAATAAACCATCCCCCAAATCACCATTTTCATAGGTGATATGTTTACCATTCCCAAATGAGTAGTTCATTATTGTTTCAACCACATTATGTATATATATATAATGCCAACACCGGATCAATAACCCCCCCCCAGAAGGTAGGGAGGTACCTTCTGGCGAGTTTTCTTGACTACCCCTAAATAAACGGCCCTGAACCATCAAATTCTGAACCATAAAACTTTGGATATGGCTTACTTCAATTAGATCTTAATAGAATTCCATTGGATTTGTTAAAATTTCATGGATCAGAAAGGTGGTTGATTAATCAGGGGCAAACCCTGGTTATTATTAATGGGGGACATGGGCTCATGAGGGGTACCCTTTGGGAGCTATCCAAACTGATGATTTTTATAAAGATTTTAATTGGGGAATAGTTGTTTTTTGAAATTTTCAATGATCAACTTAAACCTGAAGTATAACAATGATGATTAAAAAAAAGGTAAAAAAACAATTGGAAATAGATAGAATTGGAAATAAACAATGTTGGATAAAAAATTGATTTCAGCACTGGTGGTTTTTTAATCGGGTGGGTTTATTAATCTGGGGGGACCACCTGTTTTTAAATTACATTTTTTTTTGGGTGCAGTGGTGGTTGATTAATCGGGAGGGGATTATTAATCCTCACTTGACATTATACAGTATAACATTGTGAGAAATTCACCTCTCTTTTTGTTTGGCAACTATATATTTTAGAGTCTGCTTCTTGCTTGGGGGTTTTGTCATGGGTACCGTCATGGATGTTCGCTGGCTATAGCCGAAGTATTGGGGATATAATATCCAATAGATGCTATTTTATATAAGTGATGTTCAAAGCCTCATTCACTGGGACAACCCAAGCCTTTCACCGGAAAAATGATTCTTTTTTGTTGGTGGGTAAGATTATGAGATATGGAAAAATAAGAGATTTCTTACAGATGACATTGGATTATGAGGATATACAGGATGGTACCCCCTCAGTTTTTTTAGGTGACTTAGAATCCCCTTTAGCTATAGTTATATTTCCCATAAATAAAGGACTTGTAAACCTACTATCTAACCATATATAATGGTAATAGATGGATAGCAATATAAATTAATATAAAGGACTATGGTTACATCCCTAGTTATCGGACTTGTAACCCGTGCATTTTTGATAGTACACAGTGGTGCCGCCCATGTGCCGTCCTTCGCAAGTTGATGGCTATAGAAATAGTTGATTTACCCATTGGAAAAATGATGATTTTCCAGTTCGCAAACTGTAACAGTTTACCAGAGGGTAATCTTGGATTTGGAGAAGGTGATTTTTCCTTTTCCCAGCGGGTTTCCCCCACTAGTTGGGGAATAGATAGGACAAAAAAAATCTTGGGCGGGTTCCAGATCAGCTCCAATGGGGGTCACCACCATGTAGGGATGGGCCAGGGAAAGCCTCTGAAATCAGCCGCTTTGCTATTGAATTTATGTGGTCATTTATATAGCCATTTAGATCAGTGGCTTGTATGCGGCTTAAAAACTATTGGATATATCTTGAGAAAGGGGGGCATCGAATAAGGAGGTTTCCTCAAATGGGGGATTTGTCCTTATAAACCATCCATTTTTGGGTACCATGTATGGAACCCCCCATCGGATATGGGAGACATCCTACGGCACGGTTCAGGTAGAAAAAGTAACACCTGGACAGGTTTTCAGGGGAGCCGTAGTCCCAGCAATTTATCTGATAAACATGTGGTAAACCAACTAATAAGCCATCCCCAATATTGGTCTATTTTTAGTTACCCTCTGGTAAACATACAAAAAGCTATTGAAAATGGCCCAGTCGAAATAGTGGTTATTTTCCCATTAAACATGGTTATTTTCCATTAAACATGGTTATTTTCCCTATTTATAGTGGATTTTCCCATTAAACATGGTTAGTTCACCAGAGGGTACATAACTTATCATTGGGATGATAGGTCCGTAGGCACAAAAATGCTTGGTTCATGGGATGGTGGCAAAAAGGCGGCGGGTTACCAAAGCCCGTTAAAATTGGAGTTTTGTTTGGTTCCCGGGGTTACATAATGTTACATTAATAGCACAAAAACGATTTTTTTCTCAATTTAGATCATCTTCATCTCAAACTACGGTTATTTTTCCAGTGCCAGCTTTGAAAAAACCAAGAACCTGTTGATATGGTCCGAGAAGGTGGTGTAAACCCCCAGTTGATCATGGTAAAAACAATCCCAGCTGATACCCGGCCTGGTAAACGTTAATAAAAAACGAACTGGAAAGATCCACCAACCGCGAAAAAATGGGTAAATCAACTGGTTCAACTGGGCCATTTTCAAGAGCAAACTGAAACAAATTTCCAGAGGGTAATCTTGGATTTGGAGAAGGTGATTTTTCCTTTTCCCAGCGGGTTTCCCCCACTAGTTGGGGAATAGATAGGACAAAAAAAATCTTGGGCGGGTTCCAGATCAGCTCCAATGGGGGTCACCACCATGTAGGGATGGGCCAGGGAAAGCCTCTGAAATCAGCCGCTTTGCTATTGAATTTATGTGGTCATTTATATAGCCATTTAGATCAGTGGCTTGTATGCGGCTTAAAAACTATTGGATATATCTTGAGAAAGGGGGGCATCGAATAAGGAGGTTTCCTCAAATGGGGGATTTGTCCTTATAAACCATCCATTTTTGGGTACCATGTATGGAACCCCCCATCGGATATGGGAGACATCCTACGGCACGGTTCAGGTAGAAAAAGTAACACCTGGACAGGTTTTCAGGGGAGCCGTAGTCCCAGCAATTTATCTGATAAACATGTGGTAAACCAACTAATAAGCCATCCCCAATATTGGTCTATTTTTAGTTACCCTCTGGTAAACATACAAAAAGCTATTGAAAATGGCCCAGTCGAAATAGTGGTTATTTTCCCATTAAACATGGTTATTTTCCATTAAACATGGTTATTTTCCCTATTTATAGTGGATTTTCCCATTAAACATGGTTAGTTCACCAGAGGGTACATAACTTATCATTGGGATGATAGGTCCGTAGGCACAAAAATGCTTGGTTCATGGGATGGTGGCAAAAAGGCGGCGGGTTACCAAAGCCCGTTAAAATTGGAGTTTTGTTTGGTTCCCGGGGTTACATAATGTTACATTAATAGCACAAAAACGATTTTTTTCTCAATTTAGATCATCTTCATCTCAAACTACGGTTATTTTTCCAGTGCCAGCTTTGAAAAAACCAAGAACCTGTTGATATGGTCCGAGAAGGTGGTGTAAACCCCCAGTTGATCATGGTAAAAACAATCCCAGCTGATACCCGGCCTGGTAAACGTTAATAAAAAACGAACTGGAAAGATCCACCAACCGCGAAAAAATGGGTAAATCAACTGGTTCAACTGGGCCATTTTCAAGAGCAAACTGAAACAAATTTCCAGAGGGTAACATGATAGGTATAATCACCAAGAACCCTTGTTTACGTCATGAACATGTCACATTCAATCCCTTCCAGTCCCTGCCTCTTTCTGGCGTAGCACCAAGGACCCAATCTGATTCCGAGATGATGCAGGAGAGAAGTCTTCGAATGGAACAAATTATAATAAGTCGTAGCCATTTAAATGGGATTTGGTGGAGATACAATTATAATGTGGGCAGAATGGGGACATTATTTTGGAATATGAACCTGTTTATAGAACTTCTGGAACATGGGTGAAACTCCAGTCTACTTAGTGGAATTATCTCTAGAGCTCAACTGCATACGAGGTGGACAATAAGAATACAGCAGGCTGAACATGGGTCCTATTGCATCATTTGGTCAGCAGAAGCCTCCTGTTGGGTCTATTTCGAACTTTTGTTTCGGAACTTGATTTTGTCAAGTGACCTGATGGTTCGACAGATACCATGCTGGGGACTATGACACTATGACATTGGAAACACACTATTCAAGTGCAGTTTTCACTGGAATGATGGTGACTATCCCCGGAATTTGTGCCTTTTATCAGGTCAGTGAAGTACTATAATATTTTGATTTAATTATACTACATAATACAGTGTTTTTTTCTGTATTAATTTGCTGGACCATCCACATGATGAATCCCTCCTTGTGAAGAAATGATCCATCCTACGCAAGGCGCCCAAAGGCAAGGGCGGAGCTCCGAAACACCAAAGAGCCATAAAACCTCGTGAATTTGAAGGGCTTTTCCCACTTCCTTTTCCCATTTTTCCCATTGCCTTGGCTGAGCGTTTCTGAAATTCTTGGGCTTTACCAGCTTGTCGTTGAGCGCTGCACCTTAATGCCTGGCCATTTTCACTGATTACTATCAACCCTGGATTAATCACTGGGCTAAAGTCGGGGGTACCATTCCTTTGTCAACCATGGTTCCTGAATTTTCACTGTGGTAAAGCGAATTATGCAGATCATTCCTACATATACCCACTATTGCATAGTATTGCCATAAATGGTTTGGATCCCAAGCATCCCTAAATTGTAGTTGTGCTAATTGGGGTGAATCCAACAACAAACCGGCCACACGTGGCCACACGTGGCCACACGTGGCCACTCATCTGATTCTTGGGGTGTGCAGTTCCAGGACATTTCACCATAGTTTTATGTGTTCCCAAGTTATGGGGGTTATCACCACTGCTTTACCTATCAAAGTTAGATAACTGCAAAAATAGCCATTTTTAGCAATTATTAGCCCTTTTAGCCCGCAATAGCACCATCATTAACCACTAATGGAACCACATTTTTCACCCATGGCCTGGCTTGGAACACCACCCCATGAAAAAAATCATCCGGTTTCCAGGATGTGAACACCTTGCAGCAGAACTTGTCACAGAAGACCTATGAACTCGAAGCCTTGAAAAAGTCCTATTCACAGGTTGGAATGGTGAGCCGGTTGGGTGATCAAAATGATCATTTTCTCCAACTTAGCATCCAAACATATCCAAACATACTACTGTTATTAAAAAAACAGAAAACAAATCGATGGTCTTTCATGGGACAATTACATTCGATTCCATTCAAATCCAAAGACGATTCTTTTTCATAGGAAACAAGACATAACACATGGTGATTTATATTTTTGCAATAGGAAAAACATTGGTTTTGTGACAGTGGTGTCCTACTTTAAGAAACGGAACGGGAATTCAGCTGCACAATTTTATAGCGACCAAGAATGGTCGACCAGGCTACAGGCCAGGCATGTTGATCATTATCTGACCTGTTCGATGCTTGCCAAATTACTCCAAATTGTAGCCAAAAAAGCTGAGATGGTAAATCCAACGAAAAACATTGATGTATATATGTATATAATATATAACATCTTTGAATGGGCAGGAGACATGTGAAAACATATGAATTGCCAAAGAAGCTTGGGCTAAGTGCCAAGCTCGGGTCTCCCCTTCATCAATACGTAAGCCCTTTACTCACATCTTCATTGTGGACATGAGTGCGTCTCAGATTACCCCTTAATTAAATTAACCCAATTATATCCAGTTATTGTTACATTATGTTATTAACCCCCAAATTTATCTTCTATTTTCGTGACACAAATTATCAAACTTTACCCCAAGCTATGCTAATTGGTTGCCACGAAAATGACCAGAAAACAAATTCAGTGTCTGCTCCCAAACCAGGCTGCTACCCGATGCTCAATCCATGCCCAACATCAACATCTTGGGCATGGGTCAAAACCAATACGCCATTTTTTGGGGGTGTATGAACATCCATAGATGTCCTTTTCCCATTGGTTGGTTGGTTAATAGAGGGGTTTGAAGAAACCCCTTTAACAACAGGTAAATGATGATAGATGGTATACCAAACCGGCCCCTCTATTTTTACCAAAAGGACATTATTGTGAACATCCATTTACCAACTATTTAAGGCTTGTGCCACAGTTTTGACCGATATCATATTCATATCATATCCATATCATTTTGGGCTCCTGGGAAGGCTGTTGTCGGCCTGGTAGGCGCATCAACACCTGCAAAGCTCCCTGATCCAAATGCAGACGCTTGGAGATCAGCAGGTCTTAGCTTGTTGAATATATATATATATATAATAACAATAATAGTAATACTAATAATAAGACTAGTACATATCATTAATTAATAATAAAAATTAATTATCATAGTAATGACAATGATAATAACTCAATATATACAGTATATATATAATATTGATAGAAATAGAAACTCTAGTTGGTGTTTCAAACATCGGTGGCCCTGCGATTCTCAGGCCGATAGCCAGTCGCCAGGGGAACAAACAGTTGCTACTTGGGATCAAAATTCTGACCTTCTACTGATCCAAAATTCATTCTGATCATTCTGGGGGTTTCCATAAATGGGGGTACCTCAATGGCTGAATGGTTTACAGCGGCTTCATCACACGGGTTTCCTTGCTGATCCTGGGGGCAAGGTCCAGGCTATTGTCATCATGAGTAATTTCGATCATGATTCAGCATCATTGCTATGAGACAGTATTAACCAGTAGGGGTCATCTCAGACTTCTCCTGGTTAGTTTTGACCTAGCTGTGTGAGCCATGGTCAAAACTGGAAATTATCATCCACTACTGGCTGATGGCCATCCAATGTCTGGGACTTCTTGGAAGGTTTATCCAAACGCATTTGACATATCGGATTCGGGGGAAATGCTTCTATTTTTGGGCCTTCCCACCGATTTTTTATCATGGGGAAGTGAGTTCAATCATCGGGACCCTCATAGATCAAGCTGATCAAGCTTCCAGGTCACCGATTTCTGCGATGCTTTGTCTATGGCTCAAAACGATCACGGAGCCGAAGCACGGCGTGTGACCGGCCACAGACCAAATGTCTTGGGAACCTCCAACGCTGGGGCCCGCCCTTTGCGACGTCAAGCACAAACTCTTCCATCCCGTATTAGGGCTGAACTGACGAGACCAGGGATATAGTCTGGTTATTCTGGTTGGTGGTTTGGATCCATGGAATTTTATGACTTTCCCATCATATTGGGAATGTCATATTCCATGTCATCATCCCAACTGACGAATTCCATCATTTTTCGGAGGGGTAGGTCAGCCACCAACCCTAAGGGTCCGATATTGAAAAAAATCATTCTAAATATTGAAAAAGTACCGGTTTCAATATTGCATGTTTTCACGCCAAAAACAAAATCAAGATTTTGGATACAAACCTCTACACACAATAATGATTTTTTTGGCCAAAAATATTGTTTTTTTGAAAAAATGGTGCAACAAGCAACATGACATAGGGCCATGCAATGAGCTCACTGGAGACAGGTCAGCAATGGACAATATGTGTATGGTAATTACTTGCATATTTGATGGCTGCTGCACCAGTGTTGGACCAGCAATGGGCCTTTGTCCTCTGAATGGAGTTACTTGCTGTGCATTTTTTGTGTCAAGTGCAGCATGCGGGTTGCCTGCCTCTGCTTCAGCAATGGCAGCAGCGACAGCTCTTGATGAACCTGAAGAAGATTCTGTCTCATTAGAAAAGCATCTTGGTGAGAGAAGAGATGCTGCCACGCTTCCTGATGGTTCTGACAGACCTTTGAAAAAATTGAAGGAATGCACCCATGACTCCAAGGATGGCATCAGATGGCTTCAAACTGCCAATGGCCCTATGATACCTTTTGTACTGAGAGCAAGCTCTGGCATTGTCCATTGTGGCCATGTGGAAATGCATGTTTTGAGAAATGGACACATTCCTGAGGTTCTGTGCCTCACTGGCTGTGAGCCAGCTGGCCAGTGTCCATGCTATTGCCACTTGTTGCAAAGCTACTACAACCAAAGAACATAGTAGGGTTAAAAAGGTTGCAGCTTGCTGGTATGTTTGTGAAAGTGTTGGCAAAGTGTGGGACCAGCAATGGGCCCTGATGTTGGGAATCTGCAACAGAGCACAGCTTGCAAGGATTGTCTTTGCAAAATCTGTGCGCAGGCAGCATCTGGGGTCAAACCACCATGAGTAGAAAAACGAAAGGCACCAGGGGTGGTAGTAGAAACAAAGCAAAGGATGAAGTGGACATTGACCACCTTTGTGACTTGTGGCTTGACCTCCACGGGAAGAATTTTGATGTGTTTGGCAGCTTTGGTGAATACAAAGGACTTTGGGCTGAATGTGCAGCCAGACCTGACCTGGTTGAGCTGATTCCAATGGCACGGGTAATGTGCACTTGCAGCCCTTCTTTGATGATAGGCTACTCAGACCTCAAAGAAGCAGCCCTCATGACCATGAACAAGGACATCAGCACCAAGCCTTTGAAGGAAGAGACTGTGCAAGAATGCTCCAGGTTTGTTGCTGACAAGTTTGTGGTGGTCCAGAAACACTTCAGGGCCATCTCTTTGAACAAGGACTGGAAGAGCAAATTGAACATCCTGATGGGCAAGCTCTCTGTCAACAAGCAGAACAAGCTTCAGGAGTTTGTGGATCAGCTCCAGGAAGCATCAAAACAGAACACACCGTGTTCACCAAAGGCTTCTGCCAAGTCCCCCAAAGGGAGTGCCAGGTCCAGCTCTGCCATGCCTGTTGCAGATGAAGAAGCCACACTGCCTCTTTCTCAAGTATCACAAGATGATTATGGCCTGCCCAAACTCAGTGGGCTGGCAAGTGAAAGTGAAGCTGATGTGGAAGTGCCCAATTTGCCGGTGAGCAAGCAGGAAATCAGAAACTTCAAGTCTCAGAAAGGAGTGTCTCCCTTGAAAAGGCCTGCTTCCCAACTTCAACCTGGAAGTCAGTTTGCCAAAAAACCTGCAGCCAGAGCTGACAAGTTGAAAATTAAAAAGGAAGCTAAACCAACTTTCAAGAGGCCAGCTTCCAAGTTTCAATTGCCTGCAGGGAGCCCATTTGCAGCCATTTTTGGTTCCCAGCAAAGCTATATTTGCTTCAGAGAGGGTGGTTCAAAAAAGCTATGGGTTGCAATCTCTGCAAAGCAGTCTGCAAACCATGCAGCATTGATCAAGAAAATGTTGGAAATGAATCCTGCCAGCAAACAGCAGGCTTTGGACTTCAGGTCCCAAGTTTTGGAAGAGCAGCCATAAGCAACATTTCTGGGTGACAAAAAAGTGGGGGAGGAGTGGTCTGTTTTTGTGCTATACTTTTGCTGTCTTTTTCAATGGTGAACCAGTCAATTCTTTCACCAGCAGCAATTTGCCACCTGTTTTCTTTGTGTCTGCAGGGCCCACCTCACACTTGGCATGCAAGGGACCAGAAATTGGGCCCCCATTTGCTAAGTGAACATGTGTGTTTTGGTCCAGCTCTATGTTCTTGCTACCTTCTTGAATCTCTGAACTGGTTTATTCTTTCACCAGCAACTATTTGCATCTTTTTACTCAGGCTGCAGAGCCCACTTCATATGTGGCATGGAAGGGACCAGAAAGTGGGCCCACATTTCATTTGTGAAAATGTGCAATGATGATTTGGCACCATGCATTGAATAGGTGACACAGCTGCAGCCATGTGGCCCAAAAAAAATGGTGCCCAAAAAAGAAAAGAAAGGGGGCGACTAACAAATTCTGAAGAAGGCAGGAAATTCATCAGGGCTACTGCCAAGGCCAAATCCAAATTCGGTCCTCCTCTTGGCCCTTTGGAAACCATGTGGATTTCCACCATGCCTGAGAACAAGACCATGGAGATGGCACAAGGCCAAGCTTCTCTTTCTACAGCCTCAGCTTCGTCTTCTACAACCACTGCTGGTGGCCAAGCTATGCATACTACAGCTTCCTCTTCTACAAGCATGGCAGATGGCCAGGCTGTGCCTGTCACACCTTCCTCTTCCAGCTGCAGGGATGCCAACCCTTCTGGTCAATATGGTGCAGCAGTTGGACAACATGGGGGTGAAGGGCAAGGGTTGCAGCAGCTTCCAAAAGCTGAACAGAAACATACTGTAAAACAGTTTGGCTCTGGAATTATTTTTGGTGTCCATGACCCAGAAATCTGATCCAGCAGTGCAGGTGGTGGATCGTGAAAAAAATGCTGCAGCATGTGTCTGCCAGAAGTTTGTTGGGATCAGCACTGAACCTTTTGTAGTAACTAGTAGCTGCTGGTGGGACCAGAAATGTGCCCTACAAAGCAATTTATGTTGGACAGTGGGACCAGCAATGGGACCAGCAATGGGCCCTACAAAGCATGTGTTTTGTGTGCGCATGTCCTGTGGTTTCTGTGACAGTTTTGTTTCAAGCTGGCTGCAGCCAACATTGCCCACATTCACAACATATGTGCAGGTTCCAAAAGGTAAATTATTTTTCTTTAAAAACATGTTTATGGCAGTTTCTGGAAATAAACATGCACAAAACTGCACAAGTGCAATTGTTTCCACAGAAACACTTTCAGCACACACACACACATTTCTCACTATGGAAGCAAGCCCTTGCTACCCCATTGATGGACCCAGAGAATCCAATTCTCTTTGGGGGGTGGCAAAGCTGGAATGGGTGGTGCTGGTGGACTTGGACATTTTCCAGTGGATGGCAAGAATGGATCCCATGCTATGTGATGCTGTGCAATTTCTTTCCTTTGCCTGAGGACTTGGAGGGCACACCAGAAGGCCAAGCCATTGCTACAGTGAAAGTGCGAGTGCTCAGGAACCTTCATGAGCGTTATGTTGGACCACTTGGTGGCAGCATCTTCAAGCTGATGGTTGACCAGTTGGGGTACAAGGGCCTTCAGAAATCTGATTGGTACTACAACTCCATCCCTGTCTATGACATTGGCAACCAGCTAGCTGGATGAGACAGCAGTACAGCAGGCTGGAATGTGGTAAAAAGGAACTTGCTGCAACAAACTTGTGGGACCAGCAATGGGCCCTGTATGGCAACTTTGATTAACTAACTTTTGGCACACTCAGTAATGCATTTCTTTTACAAGCTGGTAGCTTTGGTTGGGACCAGCAATGGGCCCTTTGCCTGTGCAGAAAGCAGTGCAGGAATGACTTGTCACATGACAACTCATGACAACTCATTCCCTCACAACCTGTCACGTGACAACTCATGACAACTCATTCCCTCACAACCTGTCACATGACAACTCATTCCCTCACAACCTGTCACAT